TCATTTAATTCCATGCTAGCCAAGAGCTCTGCCATGCCGAGAACGCCAGTGATGGGAGTGCGGATTTCGTGAGACATGTTGGCAAGAAACTGGCTTTTTAACCTCGTTGCCTCTTTCGCTGCAGCTTCGTTGGCTACTGCTTTTCGTTTCTGCTTTAGTGTCTCCTTCGTTTCGATTTTCTGGTCTCTCAGCTCAGTCACATCCATTATCACACCAATGACACCCTCAATGACAGTTGTAGCTGTTGGTTTCCCCTCGCGAGACTCTTTGCAATACATCGGCAGAAACCTAGTGCGGTACCAGCGATTGTCTTTGGTGGGTTAGCCATGATGAGTCGCTGCTGCAAGATAGGATGGGGACTTACTGAAAGAATGCTCGTCAACACCAACCCCATCGGCTACCTGACCATTCAAAACCGCCTCGATGGGTTGCAAGAAATCAGGCTTCTCGCCCTCGGCCAGTTTTTCGGTGAGGCGGTTGAAAACTGTATATACATTCTCGCCGATGAACCATTCGCTATTCTTATAGTTCTGGTTGTCGTTGTCCCAAATCAAGGCCCCTTCTAGCATCGTTACTCGGCGTTTCAGATCAGCTGTGAAGATGGTAACGCGGGAGTGTGCGATGACGCTGAGAAGCTGTTTTCGAGTTCGCTCCGCGTCCATCTTTGATTGAATGCCCTCATGAGCATCAGTACAGGTACCTGCACACTGAGTTAGGGTCGAAATGAAAATGGGATTCAAAGCACCTACCGAACCACTTCTCAATCTTGCCAGTTTCCTTATTTCGCATAGCGGTTGCGCGAGCCAGAAACCATCTCCATTTGCCTTCCTTGCTCCGGCATCGCCATTCTGTCACAAATGGTTCACCAGTTGCGACTGACTTTTCCCATCGTGGCACGCTCGCCTGTAGATCGTCAGGGTGAAATGGTAGCATCCAGCCGTCCGCCATACACTGCTCGTCCGTCAGGCCAGTATACGTGTACCATCGAGAATTAAAGAATTCTGGGTGGCCATCCGGGGATGTCGTCCATACCAGCTGAGGCATTGTATCACAGATGATCCTGAATCGCTCTTCGTTGCTCTCTTTAATCTCTGTGATCTCTTTCGTAACGGAAGTGCAGTCGTGGCCAGATACGACACCGGCAAGAAATTCGCCGGTGATCTCGTCTCGGATGGCTTCGCCAGTCACTTCAAAGACGACCTTTTCATTTTTCTCGTCGTACAAGCCGATCCTCATCGGGCCACACGGGGCCTGTGTCTCGAGAAGAGTGGTGATAGGGTATTGGCTTGGATCCAGTCTCTCCGTGAAATGTTCATCCCATAACTCCCAGTTGTTCAAGACATCAGTACCGCTAACTGACGCATCCAAGTTAATGTCCTTGCGGAAGTATCGGCGGGCTGCCTTGTTTGGAAAAGTAACACTCCCATCTTTCCACATTGCTAGGATGGGAACTTGTGTTTTGTCTAACAGGGCGTCTTTTAGGCGTATCATCTTCTGGAGTATCGATGGGGTGGTTGATTGGGTAGCAACAGAAGGGGGACCCATCGGTGGGAACGGGCTCGATGACATAATGACGGCGGATGGGCTGTAGAATGAGGGCGAGTTGGAATTCCGGCTCGAAGCGAGGGAGGGAGGATTTGAGTGAGCGATGGAGGGGGTGCTGATTGTTTTCTTCTCCGCAGCTTCCAAGATGCTGGACCTTGCAATCGACTTTTTTGTCGTGACGAGAGAAGATGAGGAAGATTCCGAGTTAGTGAAGGTGAGACTGAAGTAAGTCTGTCTGTCCTCGATTTCCCAGATAGAAACGATCATTTTGGCGAAAACCTGCTGTCCCGGGGGGGTTTTCCCTTTGGTGTGTACATCGTGGGCTGTTGACCTGGCCACGCTCGTTCGGGAAATGACTACGTCAATAACAGCATCCTGAACAGTTTGACTGCCTGGTTTTGAGTTTGGTTTTGGGCTTGAGATTTTACCAGCGGTAGGTGTGGCTTCTCCCCCTTGCCCAGGCGTGGAATGAGATTCACCAGCAGGTGCACGAACTCCCATCTCATCAACAAGTGCGTCTAGAAAAACTTCCCAAGTGACCCAAACAGGATGCCCATCTTGGAGCATATCGATGCCCACTTGGGACAGAGTCTGGCCGCGGAGCCGCTCGAGGGTTGTAGAAGCTTCGATTTCGGTGACGTTGTCCTGAACGAGCCCTAGCATTCTGCCCAACGCCTCATTGGCCAACACCACGGTCTTGAGGCTATTTAGCACTTGGGTTGGGACAGGCAGGTACTGCAAGGCCGAGAAAGCAAGCTGCCCCGGGGAAATTGCGGGCATCTGCAGGCGCAGAGGACTCGGGGAAGCTGTACGGGTTTGTGGCCCGCTGGAGTTTCGGCCATCTCTGGAGAACCGACCCCCAGCTACCAGGGGAGTGGGATCCGTGATGGTGCCATGCTCCGGCTCGTTCGATTCGTCAACCGTTTCGGTCTTCAGCTGAGGCACTATGGAGCCATTTAGTGGCATAGAAAGAGTATGCTCACTCTCTGGCGTAGAATTTGTGACAGCGATAATCGGCCTAGAAGCTCGCAGCTCGCTGGTCTGGAGAGATGATGGTTCGGAGGAGAGCATGTCGTTCGGGGGGTATGCCGTCCGGGTTTCGCAGTCGACCGGCTAGAGAAGTCGATTGAGCCTCGGTAGATGGTATGGTACAGTTGGGAAGCCCGGAACTTATCACCAACACTCTGTTGATCGACGGGGTCTTAACATGGCGCTAGATAGACGTCCCTCTCAGTGGTTATGGCGAGTTCACGGGTGGTGGTACGGGCAACTGATCTGGAGCAGGAGAGCAGGCGCTTGCCTCGGTCACTTATACCAATAACAGGTTGCTCTGGAAGTATCAGATGAAGAGGGGGACCTGGCCCATGTGAGTGATCAAGGGAAATGGAAAGGTTATGACAAGAGCTTGAGGGGAGGAGAGGGAAAGACGATTAACAGCTAGAATGATGGGAATTGCTAGTTCACTCCACACCGATTGGAGGGAAGAAAAGCTTGGCCCTACGGCTAGTTAATGAGAGCCAACGTCCCAGGCTAGGTTATGACGGTGGTCGGTAGGAGAAGAGTGGACGGGTGGTCGATTACATCCATACCTTACTTACACCCGGCACCTTAGGTAAGGAAAGCTTTGCTTGTTGGGGAACCTCGAGACCCTGACGCCCAGGACGGCACACCAGCAGCACTAGCTTGCATTTACTTAAGAAGGGACCGCTGCTTGAGAGGGGCGTCTGGCATTAGGGTGGGCGGGGATCTTGGGGCTTGGGGTGTGTGGGAACGGCGGTGGGCCTCGGGGGGAGCAACCTTCGGGATCTGGATGGATGAAGTAGGAAGGTTGCAGGTGCGTGCAATGGGTGATATGTACGGATAGAGGCTGCAAGACATTCTGGGCGTGATAATGCATTTGGATCAGTGCATCTCGACGTGATCTAGAATGGATGAAAGGCTTTTCCCAGCTTCCGGGAAAGAGCTGGTGGTGGGAGGAGGGTGTGAGAGGCAGCAGTAGTTGATCCACTAATTACTTTTTGGCCTCGTTACGTACCAACGGCAGAATTGCCAGAAGGTACCCCCCTAGAGCTTCGGTCTGCGTAGCAAGCTATGTCCCAGCCCTGCCATCAGGACCTGGCAGACACCCCGCTTGAGCTCCATGCCTCCTAAAATATACCAGAGGGAGCGTAGTCTGCCGTGTCCTCTAAACTAGGGTTTTCTGACGGAAAAGGGAGATGGCGAGGGCCGAGAACAATGTATGTAAATGATGATGGTGCAAAGCGCTGCAAGCGGACACAACCGGACGCAGCGATCGGCACCCTAAAAACAAGGGTCCACACAATCGGCAGCGGGAAGGCACTTGCGGTCAAACAATCTGACCTTCGGCACTCCGATTTGGCACCCGGTGAGAGCAGCTGTGTCAATCCTTGATCGCCCGTGAGACACGGAAAGCCTCTGCGTGCAAAAAATAGCTTACACATTCTCCTCTGTTGGCTGGTTTTCCATGCGCCTACACGGGAAAATCCCATCTGGCGGCCACTCGAGTGCCAGTACAGCCTCAATCGGAGCTAACACAGCCCACAGTGCTAGGTGCATGCTTTGGGTGGAGCTGTGCTTTGGTCTGTCTTGCCTGAGATCAGGCACCATTCGAGAAACGCCCGTGAGAGGTTTATAGCTAACTGTGGCCAATATTAAGGTTGGTGCGTTTTTTCAGTAGAGACCACAAATTGGCTCCCACGAGATATCAGAACTAAGCCATATCCTCACAGCCTACATATTCTCACCGCATTCTGTGCTACAAACACGCACGAGTTTGCTTTCCTTTCTCGGCACAGGATGCAGAGTGCAGGACACAATGCACGGCAGAAGCGCAGGTAGCCACGGCCAGGTCCACCTCTTACTGAGGGAGATCCGGGTCCCAGGAGTGTTTGAGTGGAACTCGTGGGTGAACGATGCTAAGCTCGAAAAACGTATCAACTGAAGCTAATGGCATTTCTCCTCACTGTTGTTACCTGTCGGCCACTCACCACACCCCTCCCCCATCTCAGCTCACCTCGCTTCTGATGCGTGGCAGGGGAGGGGGGCAAGGTTCTAGACCAGCCTTGGCGTTGATCAGGTCCCAGGACCACGTTCGCATTGGGGCACGGCCTGGTCAAGACGGCCGGCACTTGCTAGACCCGATTGCCGTCATTCCTGGACAGCTTCAACAACGGCCACTTCAACATTCGTGAAGCACAGCTGCAGCAATTGGCGCCCTACACACCAGTCCTCAATTACCGCCCACGACTTCACCCACACTCCGACCATGTCATTGCCAAGCCCAGCACCATGAGACAAACTACCCGATTGGATCCAGCCGCATGACATACCCACGTCCCGTCGATCATCTCCATTCTCTCCCTGGCTTTGACGTCATGCTCAGTTAAGCAGCCTCATCATCTCACTATCCTGACCCTGCGTCTGAACAAATCCCCTTACACCAACTCCGCCCCACGATGACGCCCACCCGTCACTTGTCCCGTCTCGTGCGCCGCTCTCCGCTCGGGCCTACCTGATTTGCGAATTCGGTTTTGCATTTCATCACGATGCATGAGAGGGTCCTCAGGGTCCTGCAGGTTGACATGGGACATGGGCAGAACACCCACGCCACCAACCTTGCCGTCTGAACGGATCATAACTTCTCGTGCCAGCCCACTCATTGGCGCCATTCATAAGCATGCCCCTGGTGGATCCCACAATCGCATGTCGTCTACTTCGTTAATGATGATGACAACATTTTGGATTTCATCGGCCGCCTACTAACCACCTTTCTCTTGACATTCTCACACTTAAGCTTGAGTCTGCGACTGGCATTTTGCATTTGGGTTTGTACGAACAAATTTCATTGTCGACGAGTATATAACTTTAAACGTCTGATTGTGATATGGAAAATGGCCGACGCATTCCCCTACAGCTTAGTAGCAAGCGCTCTCAGCCTTACATAGCTGATCATTTCTCCCCCACCGGGATTTCTGCAGACTTCCCTCAACACCTCTGCGATCTCCTTGACAACCTCTTCCCTCTCCTTCTCATCCTCGACGGCGTGCAATATTTGGCTTCCAAATAGCCTGATCCATCCCTCCACTCCACCCTTGTCAGCTTGCGTTGGCCGCCACTCCCGCTCGACCTTGTCCACTCTGAAGCCAGCCTTTTCAAGCACACCCGTGATCCATTTCTCTTCTGGGAAGAACCACGGGTCGGCAGCAAGCGCTGCCTTCATGCCGACGCGGCGGCTAACGGCCATAAGGAGAGAAGTGCGCATTTCAGCTACATTGCCTAGGCCCCCCATTTCCAGAGAAAAGGTACCGCCGGACTTGAGAGATGCGGCTACGGCATCAAATACTGCCTGCCTGGTCTCCTCCTTGCGCAGAATCCAATGCAGGGCAGCATTGGAAAAGGCCTTGGTAAAAGTACCTTTCTGCAAGGCCGGGTTGGAAGGTATATCCGTAGCATCAAGAACTGGAAAACGCGATTAGTTTAGCCCATCCACAGCGTCATTCAATGAAGCAGCCAACCTTCAAAGGTAGTATTTGTAGTATCCTTGCACAGTTCCTTGGCAGCCTTGATCATCGCCTCTGAGCTGTCAATGCCGTAAAGAGAGCCGGTTCCTTGAGCCAAAACCTTGGAAAATTCGACATCCAGAATTCCATCTACACCCACCCATTAGCACAAAAACGAGACCAAAGCGATCGATGTCACGACTTACCACCGCAGCCCACGTCCAAGAGAACATCGTCTTTTTGGAGGTCAAGCCACGTGACTACTTTCCCAGCAAGTTTGGGCACGAAGGAGGCACTGTGCTGGTAGTCCTAGTCCAGTGTTAGCCGGGAGATGCGGTTCTCGGGGTTCATCACACACTTACACCAGCACTCCAATGGTCTTTTTCGCCTTGCTGCTGGGCCATTTTCGAAATTTTGGGTGGTTTGCAAATTGGTAATTTATATTTGATTCCTTGCCTGGTTGAATTGATCCATGATTGAAGGGTTCTTTTGGGCAGTTTATATAGCAGTCTGAGGAGGCCGAGATCGGAGGAGAACTGAACAGCTACACCAATCAATCAGCACATTGCAACGGTAAACCTGCCGGAGATAAAATAAAATAGGAATAATTTAACCGGGAAGTGGATGCAATAGGTGAAAAGTGAAATTTATGTTCATCATTGTCATCGGTGGGTGAAATTTTGTCAGAGAACATTGATCAACTTCAGAGATATGGTGGAGGCTCGAGGTGAGTTTGCTAAACGGGTAGCCTTTTTGCATCTAGGTATGTGAAAGCTTAAAGGTAAGCGCTGAAAAAGTGAAATAAACGCGCAGTGACGTTTATCTGTGTCTGTATTTTTCTAATTCTTTAACGGATATTCTGATTCCCATCTCATATTTCTTCGCCTTGCGAGTGTACGTGCTGGGACTATCCATTCTCTTGCTAGGTACTTTAATGCCAATCTAAGTCGACAGTACCATTTATTTCAATGCATTCTGACAAACAGAGTCGGGATATTAATTAAGAATATAATTCTGTAGTTGTATCTAGGTTGAAGGAGGACTAACTAGGAGTTTGGCTGCCAATATTGTACATGTCCATCATCCTAAAGACTTGGAGCTTCTTCCTTGGGACGATAAATTAGGTCGGCCTTTTACGTGGGGCTTTGAAAAAGAGAGGAAAACAGACCAACGAGCGAATCAAGATACCTGTATTTGACCGCACTACATTAGCCATAGAGAGAGCTGCTGTATCTAAGGTATGCAACTATGATCTAATCTTGGAGGTACCTCATGCCGACATATCCCAGACCCCAACTGATTTATGTAAGCATCGAGGCCGATACCGCGAGACCTCCAAACAGCAGCTCAGATAATAGGAGGACAGGCAAGGGAGTGGTCCTGTGCTTGATTGATATAGCGGAGCAATTTTATTCGTTCATGCCATTCCCCAGGGCTCCCTGATTTCTAGTTCAGTTTGCTTTCATGCTCTGGGATAATTTTATCGGTGCTCGAAGCTGAGAACGCACAAGCGGCGTGGCCAATCAGCGACCGCTGGTGGGTAGCTCCCCGACCACCTCCTCTTATCGCCCAGCCCCAGATAAGGTGAGTTTGCAAGCTGTGGGCAAAGTATCGTCATTCAAGAACCTGCCCAACGGCTGGCCGGGATGCCCAATAGTTCACTGTCCACATCCCCATTCTCCTCACGTATATTGTCTTCATCATGTCTAACGATGAGAAGCCATTCCTGGATGTCGTGACTGATCATGTACGGTCTTTCTCTCTTCCTTGGCAGAGCGTCTTACAAGAGTCGGTGTGCTGATATCAAATGACTATATAGCTAGGGCCCTTACCCATCTATTTGCGAAAATATACCGACGAGGTTGCCGACTACATTGAAGACCATGTTGATCAAGCCGCAACTTTCGTCCGCCGCACGATAAACACGACACCATGGGTCCCGGAGGTCATCAAGGGAGCCACCCCAGCTCCTCCTCCACCACCAGATGTAGCTGCCGTCGCCTTATCACGATTTGAAAGATTTCAGGACTGGGTAGCGAAGCACAAAATCCTCACCGGCGTCATAATCGTCACGTGCGGCTATGGTGCCTACAAAGGATACTTGGCAAACAAGTCTTTCCGAAAAATCCGTAGAGCGAAGAGGGCACGGAACGGTGGACGCACCGATGTTGTCGTCATCGCGGGGTTGGCATCTCTTCCATTGACCAAGTCTCTTGCTTTGGACATGGAAAGACGTGGGTTCATTGTCTTTGTCGTGTGCAACGCCGCCGAGGATGAGAGCACCGTCGCTGCTCTCGCCCGGCCTGATATCCGGCCACTCGTGATCGACACGACAGATGTGAGTTGTCCCAAAGTAAAACCCGAAGCCTGCCTCCGTGCTAACCTCTCTCCGCTCCCAGCCTCCACGAGCTGGGTCAGCGATCGAGCGCTTCGCTGAGCACATCCAGCTGCCTCAAGCGCCAGGTCCCAATATCAAGCCGAACCAGCTGACTCTGAAGGCTATCATTCTGATCCCCAGTCTCCACTATCAGACTTCTCCCATTGCCACCATCCCACCTTCCAGCTTCGCCGACCTCTTCAATACGCATCTTCTCCAGCCGATCCTTACAATCCAAGCCTTCCTGCCTCTTCTGACGTCTCGACTTCAGCCTATTGGGGAGAAATGGACCCCTCCCAAGGTTCTTGTCTTCACGCCATCCATCATTTCCTCCATTAACCCACCCTTCCACGCCCCTGAAGCTACCGTTTGCTCTGCTCTCTCTGCCTTCACTGAGGTTCTGACCGCAGAGCTTCGGCCGCTTGACATTCCTGTCACTCACATGCAGCTGGGAACCTTTGATTTCTCTGGCTTCGTACCCGCCCGACAGGCTGCTGCCATGATCGCTGGCAACCCAGAGGACACCCTTGTTTGGCCAGACGGTGCAAGGCATGTTTACGGTCGTAACTTTGTTGCCCAGTCCAGTTCCGCAATCTCCGGTGGTCGTATTCGTGGGTTGAAGGGCAGCTCCTTGCGAAACCTGCACAACTCCGTCTTTGATGTCATCGACGGCTCCATCACCTCCACATCCGTCCGCGTTGGCCTCGGAGCTGGCGTGTACGGCTTCGTGGGTAGATGGGCTCCCCGAGGTCTCGTGTCTTGGATGATGGGTATCCGAAAGGTTGACCAACTCTCGACGTGGAAGACAAACTCCGACGCGGGCTCATCCACTGAGGAGAGTGAGGACGGTGAGTCGAGCACCGACTTCATTGCTGTTCCTCAGGAAAAGAACGTATGGCATGCCGAGACTGACGGTAACGTCTGGTCTCCAGCACGCAAGGCCAACTAGAAAAAAAATCACGACTATTTGTTTGATGGTAAATGGGCGTATATACTCGCTACTCTTACATAAGGGCTTGACCTTTGTGATGAACTGAACGAACCTATCTTGGGAGGATTATGTATCTCGCCTCTTTTAGATATCACGACTCTTGACATATTGAATACACGTTTGATGATCATTCAGCATACGATTTTATTTCCTTTGTGACAGCCGCTTGTAGAGAAAGAATTCCTTTTGGATCCCGTAACGCCGCGTATCCCGAGTCGTCGCTAGGCGGCAGACATGAACTCTAGATAACATAATAACATTCATACCCTGTTTCCTCTCATCAAAACCTCTATTCCTCCCCTTCACATAGACTCTCCTAATGCCCTCTGCTCCGATACCGACCTCGTCCTCCCCTCCATCGTCCGCCCCTCCCACCACGTCCCATGAACCTGCCACCGCCCTCATGATCTCGTCCCTGATGCCCATCTCTCGACCTCTCAGGATCCTCATCCTTCGCCGCCTCCGCCATCCTCAGCATCTCCTCCTCCCGCTCCTCACTCCTCGCCCTCGGCCTCTCCAGATCCCTGGTCCACTTGGGGTGCGCACCAATCTTACACTCGGGGCCGTCAGGACAGAACCCGGCGAGGTAGAACGTGCACAGCTTCCGCCTGACGTGCTTCTTCGCGCACCGCGGCCCCAGCGCGCAGAACCCCATGTCGTAGTGCGGGCACGGCGGCAGCCTGCTCAGCGGGTCGATGTGCAGGTACAGGCACTCGTCGCCGTTGGAGCAGTACCCGTTGCGCATGAAGAAGTTGCACTCGGGCATCTTGCGCAGGTTGTACTCGTGCAGGAACTCGCAGTGCTCGCCCTTCTTGCACAGCCCGCGCAGCCAGTGCTTGCAGACGAGCGAGTTGAGCCCGCCCGAGGGCGCCTGCGAGTCCGCCGTGATGTGCCGCTCGGGGCAGCGCGTGCCGTTGGGGCAGTTGCCCGTCTGGAAGGCGCGGCATACGGGGCGGTCGGGGGGCAGGCCGACCTGGTACGTCCGCCGGAGGAAGGGGGAGAAGTGGAAGTTGTAGGTCGGGGCGGAGTGGTTTAGGATGGCCGATACGGGCGTTTCGGTCGTTGGGGCCGCCATGTTTCGTGGTTCTGGCTTTGCTCGCGCTTTCTGGTGGGTTTGGTAGTTATGGTGTGGTGGTGCCTTTCTGACTTGGCGGGGAAGAACCCCAAGAATTGCTCTATTCGACCTTCGATGACGATGAGCGGATTGTTTGATGAAATAGTTCTGAGGCTCCAATCTGTGGAAGGAGTGGCGAGGGTTGAAGCTGTTGGTGTTGGTTGGAGCTCTTGTGTCGTTCTAGAAGCTTGTGATTAGTACAGCAAGGGTGAGCTCTGGTGTTTTGTCAGCGGGTCCGTCGCACTTGCCACTGACAATAAAGCCAGAAGGTGCTACGCGGCAGTATTAAGTAATTTATTTATTGGACACATTCATTTCAAAAATTTAATTTCCTTCTTCTTTCAATTTGAGTAGAAATCAAAGTTCTCAACAAAATACGGTTTACCAGCCCGTCAATGAAGGGATGGCGCTCGATATGCGTCCTATCCCCATCAGACGCTTTCCCAATTGCCCAGCAGTCCACGGTATCGAACCGACTATTAATGAATGGGGGGTTCCCAGTTCACCTTCCCAAGAAACAAAAACGGAAAAAACAATGCGGCATATCAAAATCCACGTGAGAAACTCCCGTCAAAGGTACTTCCGTAGTCATCCTCATCCTCTAGTTTCTGCCCATAGCAAAACTGGACCTTAACATAGCGATGAATACGCTGGTCCTGGAGGCTGGACTTGACGCTCGACACCAAGCCATTCCTCTCATCGGGGGAGATGCCCATGGCGGCAAAGGGTTTCGCAAGATACGCGCTAAGAGACTCTTCAACCACCGTCCGCATGAGCCCACCGAGATACTTGAGCTTCGGGTCTGCCGTCCACGCCCCAATTGGTACCTTCTTTGTGACACACTGAACATCGGTAAAACCTGAATTCTTCAGGCTCTGCGCTAAATCTTGTGACCCAAAGCTCCTGTAGCCTAGCTGGCGCATCCCGTCCGCACTGATCTGAGCGAAAGCTTGCAGCGGATCGTCAGCTTTCATCGTATCGTCATCACAAAAGATCTGGGGGAGAAACTCCTGAAACTCGACCCAGCCGCCAGGAATGAGGTTCCTATGTCTCGTTCAGCGCTGCTTCCTGGATAAGTCGGGTCAAAACTTACGCGTAGGCCTTATTCAGCATCTCATCAAGGTTATACAGTGTCCATGCCATGTTCCGGAAATGTACCAGGTCGAAGTCATCGTCAAATCCCCAATCTTCTTCTTCGCAGTCGTCAACAAACATATGACAGTTTGGAGGAAGAGCTGACGGCTGGATCGGGGAGAGGTCGGTGCCGACAATGTACGAGTTGGGGTATTTATCCGCAACTAGGAGCTGAGTGTCAGTTTCACAGCGAAGGGGAAACGATCATGTCGTATAGATCTTTCTGGGGTCGTACGGTCAATTGCCCAAGTGCCTATTCAAACACCATATCAGAACTGTCTCGGAAAAAAATGCGGCGGGAGTCCACAAGAGAAGGGTCGCTCTAACCAGTTCCTGTTCCAACGTCGATGACCTTGGTTGGGATCACATCTAGATCGCTCATGTAAAGCTGACCATCCTAAATTGGGAACAACAGTATCAGCTCATACTCAAACAAAAACCACACGAAAAGTTGGAAAGTCGAGGCTCACAGCGACCTCCATCATGATATAATGCTTGAGTTCGTCCAAGTTCTGCTCATGGGCATCATTTGGCAGAGGGTAACGGCCTCGTTTGTATCCGTGATACCGACGGTCATGTTGATGCTCGTAGGTATGAACGCTGGGAGATATCGAGGTATGGCTCTGGGTATCAAAGTCGACGCTGTCGACATCAGTCTCGGGGCCATGGCAGACGCTGCCTTTGTCGTTGATCCACTCATAACTATCGGCTTCTAGATCAGCCCATGATGAGGGTGTAAGAGGCCGATCCTGGCCTGTCCCAGTTGAAAAAGAGATCACACTATCTGTGTCCATATTCATCGTTTCTGGTCTCGGGACTTGGCTAGAATGAAAATTATCTCAACCGCCGGCAGATATTACACTACAGTAGCGAGGTGGATTGTGATGGTCATGACTGTTATAAGAACCCGTGCTCCCCCCAAGCTCGCGGCGGCCATGTGTGCCTTATTCATGCACTGGGGCAGGCTACAGTGATTCGTGCCACCGAATACAATTGACCACCCGACCACGCGCCTAACATGTAGCCTATCAGTGCAAGAGCTCAGATTGTGGAGGGTCATTGTTGGTTGTTGGCAGTCGGCAAAGGGCTTGCCTGACCAGGCGCACTGCAGAAAATGCTGGACTCAATGGATCCTTCAGCCCCCAAGGTGAGGCCTTCACAAATTCTTGGCGGTTGGCCCACGAGTATTACGGACGCACTTGGCCCAGAAAGGGCATGTTCGACCAAGTTGGCCCCATCTTATTGGGCGATGAAACTCGATGTTGGTGATGCAGTCTGTTGGTTACATCGATTGTCTGCCTGCGGGGACCGTGCAGTGAGCCAAACCCTGGTCAGCACCCAAACTTGAGCCCTACCTCCGCGACTCTGTTGGTTTGGCGAGAGATCTTTTTTTTTCAGCTTCTCATTCGTCTCATTGACCCCCCACGATCGTCACCAATTAGCCAAGAGATGGTGGGCTCGGTCAAAGATGGCCCATGAGCAATCTTGTGTCTTGTGGGCGCCATGTCACCATTCATGCGTCCCAGCCCGAGGACGTAACAGCCTTAAATAGACGGTTTTCCGATCTGGTCCTCTCGTGTCTTTCAAGACCTCCAAGGTGGGCAGCTTTCCCGTATCTGCTGCAAACCCCTCCGCCCGATACGATCTTCCCCGGTGATTGATGAACTCGAAAGATATCACACTGCATGACGCAAGAGGCACAGCAGCGATTCTCGGTGGTCATCCTCGGTGATTCGTCCAAGTATACTATGTTTCATGCTGTTGGTCGAGGCATTTGACAAAATACAGAAGGTGGTCCGACTGGTTACCAGTTTGTCGGTACTCATTTTCTCAAGGCGGAATCAGCAATAAAAACACATCTACCAACAATCCCTCAAGATACGAGTGGGTCCGGTGATGTGATACCATCCAAATGGAAGCGAGTAGAGCATGGGTAGACTCTATATGCTACACCATTGGGGTCATCTGATCACCGCCAAAGTTCGCACAATAAGCCCAAAAGAGGTTCCGGAAAAGCGAATGCAACGCACGCTTTGATCTCCAATGACCTAGCCCGAGTCCTCAATCGAAAATGGAATGGAGAGCTCTCATAAGAAGAAGGCAAAAGATTCAGCTCATATGCCAGTACATGGCTTCCGATGTGAGAGCAACGTTTCTCCCTAATATATGAAAGCAAACAGCCGGGGATCAAGAGCCTATAAGCCCGAGCATGGGTAAATGGGCTTGCCTCCAGGGCGCAAAGAGAATGATAGGGCACAGTTTCTTCATTTGGCCACACCAGGACATCCGTTTCCGTGACCCAATATAGTGCTTCTTGCTTCCTATGCGGCACCTACAATCGGCAGGGGAAGGGTCGTCGACGTGTATGCAAGCATACCTAAGAATATATGACTGGGGTCTGCTGTTTTGCTCATTGGGCGAGTACACATTGTCAGGTTTCCGATTGAAGCGAATTTACCATGTACGAACAGTTGTCACATCCGGTGAGGTTCATCCCATGGCCAAAACGTGCATACAGAATGCAAAGGACTGGTCGAATCCCGGTTACCCGTGTGGTATGAATGGCTGCAAGCATTGGGCGATAGGCCACGGAGAAGGAAGAAGACGGGCCGAAGTAGCGACTGACGTGCCAAAGTATCTCTCCCATTCTCCCTCCGGGACTATCCAGGTGATACCGCAGTCACATGGATATGCCCTCCCTCTCTCTGACTGCATGAACAGGCAGCAACCACGGTGGCAGTGATTTCAGCTTCTCCAACTTTCTGTGACGTGAATTCCAGTATGCGACGTGGAAAAATCTTGCATGTTTTAGGCAACCAGCCCAATCCAGGGTTACTGGGTTAGCAAGCATGATGAGCACCAGGATCAGCCTTCGAAAGGCTCTACAGCGGTTAATTACTATGTTTAAGGGAAAACCGGGGGTTGTAAATAGCAGAGCGCGCTGCCTCGGGGGATGCGCAGATCTCAGCTGTCAGGTCAGAGATCCGGAATTTAGCGGCAATAGACCCAAATATTCACGCACAACAACAGCCAACAACCAACAACATCCATTCGGGGATCAGGTTGTTGGTGCCATGATACCCGTAGCAGACAAGAGGTGCTGGATATGGGGCTCCGGGTCACATCGCAACCGGCAATCACGTCAAGCTCGAGGCTTGAGTGCAAGGTGAAGAAGAAACAATCACTGCTCTTCCTGGACAATGCCCTTGTGGAACTTTTCGATGGCAGACTGCTTGAACTTGTGGGCCAATGCCTATTTAGTAGCGACGTCCGGGCTCCCTGTCTGCCTCTCGGCGGCTGATTAGGAGATAGCTGGCTGACTCGCCGAACGGTTTGAAAACACTCTGCGACGGCCTTGATGAGGGACGCCAGCGGCTGAGCTTCCAGAATGATCAACATGCTGCCCAGCGCAGTGTGGGGGCTGCTCAGGCTTGGGGGCTGGCTGCCACCTGGCTCTTTCATGCACGCGGAACCGTACTTTTCCCAGCCAGAGTCCAGATGGAAGAACGGAATAAGATAATCATTGTTGGATCGCCGCCATTGAGTGTCGACAACGCGGTGGGAAAGGCACGCAATGCAATGTGATACTGGGTACCTGAAGCTCCTGGGCCAGGCTAGACCAGATGAGACAAAGACCAGGTTTGAGTCGATAATTAGGTTGCCCGGGCTTAATATGGAGGTGAAATGATGTGCAGATTGAGACGGTCCGTGTGCAGCTTCCAGTTTCATCCTGCTACTGTTAGTAGGAGCAACTACATGTCATCAGCCAAGCCATGACTCGGTTAATTAGCAACTTGGTGTTCTGGAATTCGATCTCGCCAAATAGCCCTCCTGCCTCGGCTGGCTACACGGGACAGTCTGTTTCCAACCAGTGTCGTTAGTGCTGGTGGTCAATGCAAACACACGGCCGACGACGTTAGCTCGAGCACCAGGCCAGTTCGCCGACTGTCCTCTAATACGGCCGAGCGAGTGGCCAGACGCGTCGGGTCTGTGTAGGATCCCCAGAGGCTGGCCAAGACGCTGGCCAAGAGGAATCTGGCCTGGGAAGGATGGTTTGTCCTCTTCCTCTTCCTCCCACAACTCAGAAGACCGGCCGGACATTCTCTCCCATGCCTTGCTTGGCCATATCACTGGACCGGGTCACCACAAGCCTTTTGCTTGGATCCTCCGACTCAGCATGGCGTCTGGCCGCTGTGGCCCGCTTTTGACAGCTTGAGACTTGCTCTGCTCCCACCATTCGGCCCAGCCATACCCGAGGCGCCTTCTGTGATTCTTCCATGTGTTCTGCCCCATTCCTCTTCGGTACATGGAAGCTCGAGCCTTACAGTCCCTGTCATCTTATTCATAGCCTCTATTGCTACGCCCCCCGCAATTATGTCACATACTCATGGCATACTACCTACCCACCATGTGCGTTAAGCACGGCCGTGCTTCTCAGTCGGAGCCTCTTGGTGAGACGTATTAATAGCACCATGTCTGCTTTGATATTGATAAACCAGCTTCGCCTCGCGGAACGCTGTATATTGACCCACCAGCGCCTGATCGTCGCCTCTGAGGGCCTCTTTGATGTGATACATGTTGTATAAACAACGGACGAAGTAACGCACGCCCCTTAGCCAGCGAAGCTCTTGTTTGCCTTATCAAGGAGCCAGGGGTATGCCGAATACTCTGATGGGCCTCTCTGTTCGAGTACATATGAGCACGAAAACGACTGCAGTTGTATAAAGCAGAGAACAGCCATCCTTGGGCTCGCAGACTCCGCTCCTTTTCTTCATCCCCAAGGCATTTTCTTCTCGTCCAGCCGTTCGTCCATCGTGGCAGGTCTATTCTCTCAAACGCCCTCCGGGTTTCGGCGCCCTATACTTTCCCACCTCGGGACCTTTCCGTATTTCCGTCTTTCTCTTATACACACAATGTTGAGGAGCGACTAAGCCTGCCCTACCATGAGTTCGTCGTCGTCACGGAGGTCGCGTAAAGCGACCGACATGTCCAAGGTCATGTTCACCAACGCCGTGTATTTCCCCAACCATCGAATCTACCAAGGCGATACCCCTGGCATGCTCAACTACAGCTGCATCAACCACGTTTACTACGCCTACGCTAGTGTTACAGCGGATGGTGGTGTCTTTGTGAGTGACCCTTTTCTTGGAGATTTTTCGGGATTTTTTTAAGCTTTTACTGCTTTCTTTTTTGGGGGGGGCTCCACGTACGCGTATACTTACGTATGTCTTGGTTTGGCACTCTAGTTAAGCGATGAATGGGCCGATGCTAGGGCACCGGTGGATGGAGTTCAAGGAGGTTTGGGATCCTTGATGCATCTGAAACAGAAACATCCCCATCTCCAGGTTGTACTCTCAGTTGGCGGCGCTGCGGCATCTGAGACGTTCCCCATCGTGGCATCGAATACTCTGACTCGTGACAATTTTGCGCGATCTGTCCGGGGACTGGTAGATGCCTCTGGCCTCGACGGAATCGACAGTGAGTTCAATCATTTCTAGCTGCCTGGGCAAACTGCCTTTTGCGAAGCTTTTGTAGTGACCATCCGGGCCCTCTAGTTGCTTGGGAGTATCCAAGAGACTCCAAACAGGGACATGACTTTATCGCTTTACTGGCAGCGGTCCGAATCCATCTCCCTGAGGATTACTACACTTTGACTGCAGCCCTGCCGACAAGCAGAGCAGTACTTCACTATATCGACCTCAAGATGGCTGCCGAGTATCTCGACTACCTCAATCTCATGGCATACAACTTCTCGGGATATTGGAGCTCCAAGAGCGGACACCATGCTCAGCTCTACTCGATGAGCAAAGATGAAGATTCCGGGTCGTCTGGTGTATCCTATCTCATATCTCATGGCTTCCCAGCCAAGAAGGTCCTCCTGGGTATTCCCACCTTCGGTCGGAGCTTCCTCCACACCAGCGGGCCAGGACATCGGTTCAGAGGTTGCGGCGGCGGCGAGGACGGGTCGTTCGAATACAATCAACTCCCGCGCCACGGCTGCAAGGAAGCGGTTGACAAGCGCCATGTTGCCGCCCAATGCGTTGGGGACGATGGAGGTTTCGTCACTTACGACAACCCCGAGACCGTGAAGTTGAAGGCGAGCTATTGCAAGCAAAAAGGATTGGCTGTAAGTTTCAATCTTTGCATTCAATTACGCCACATGAACCACGACTTGCTCACTACTGATACAGGGGCTATATTACTGGGATGGCCCAGCAGACTCGAGGGATAAATCGAGAAGCCTGGTGGCGGCTGGCTTCCGCGCACTTCACACTTCATGAGCAATTGGCCAATTTTGATGATTTTCGGAATTGCCTCGCCTGGAGCGAGAGAAAAACAAAACAAACAGCATGGCATTGGAAGGCGTCCTCTTTTTATTGGAATCGTTTCGTTGCTTTCTGGGGTCAGCATGTGAATCTAGGGTTGGGTGGCACTATTAATCAGGTATTATTGCATGAGCTGGTACATTACGACAATATAGACTTGGACGGGGCTGCCTTCTGTTATGATCAGAATGACTTTATAGATTTACCCTATTTATTCATAATTGACTTTGTTGGCTTCATGGCTTCTCAACAATTAGCACAAGATTTGCGCATTGGTGGTCCAAGGTTCACGTTCAGAGACTTCCGGAAAACCACAAATCGACCATACGAGATGAAAGGTTCAGGAAAATAAAATACACGCTCTTAATCTACCTAATCCAATGAACATGGAGATAAATACGCGGGAAAAAAGAACGCGGCATATGCCGATGGAAAGGCGGGCTGCCTCGTCACCAGTCTCGAAACAGCTGCCTCGCCCTCACGTGGGAAGGCAGCTGATAAGGCTGACAACTGCCTCCTTGTCCTCCCCAACACCATCCACCGCCCAGCAGCATCCGGGCACGGCCTTCACACTTCTCCCCAAGATTCCCCCAGTCACCGCCCAACCCTTTTCTAAAGATGGTCAGCGCTGTGGCTACTGCCACTCCAAGCCCCACCCCCATATCGCCGAACCGCCATCATCGTCATCGCCATGTCCGACAACGGTAGAGAGCCCCAGGCGCATCGGCAGCAGCAGCAATCACCACAGCCCATCGCCCACGGCGGCCACGGCTCCTACCATGACGACCCGGACGCCGCCTCCCCCGAGGTCGAGGCCCCCCGCTTCGAGCCAATCTTCACCCTCCTGACCAACTCGTCCACGAACGAGACCATCCACCCGCGCGTCCGCTACCTCTTCGCCGACGACGACCCCTCCTCCATCATCGCCCACGAGGCAGACCACGACGCCGACAGCTCCTCCTCCCCCGGCGCCCACCGCACCCTCGTTGTCGATCTCGCCCCCCGCGACTCATCCTCATCCACCACCACGACCACCCCGAACAACTGGTCCGTCTCCTGGGCCGCCAGCCTGAGCCCCGACTTCGCCATCACAGACTCCCACCTCCTCCCCATGCAGCAGGGCGGCGACCACCACCACCCGGACACCACCACCAACGCCACCTCCCCCGCCGCCGCCCACAATGCTTCCCCCCCCAACGGCGGCCTGATGCTCCGCATCGACGGCGTCGAGCGCGAGCCGGTCGACATGAGGGGCGGGCCCTCGGCAAGCAGCAGCAACAGCCTGCCGGGCAGCAGCGGCTCGGCAGCGGGCCGCGAGGACGTCGAGGCCCTGGTGGACGACTTCAGGCGCCGCATGGGCGTGCTGAGGAAGGTCGTCGGCGAGGGCGAGCGGCGCAGGGAGGCCGTCCGCGCGGAGCAGGAGCGGCAGGAGCAGCAGGAGCATCAGCATCCGGAGGGGAACACCGGCAGCGAGCCACGCCCGGGGATGGATGCAGACGCGGAAGAGGGGGTTGAGGAGCACGATCACATGAAGGATAGCGGATAAGGGCGGGTTGACCCTCCTTCGCCTGGTCTACAGAACATCATGTCATGTTGCTTTTTTGGGTGTTTTTTCTTGGTTCTACGGTTTGGTATATAAAATCAATCCTCGTCCCCCCGCCCTGACCGCGAAAGGCAGTGCGACTTGGGATCGGGATATGGCTCCGACGATGGTTCAGGACGAGGATCGAAGCAGTTGCGGCGCAGGTCTTACTTCAATACCATATTGCATTTGGCGTTCCAGGAGAATAAAGAAACCTTGATTTCGACTTTTTTTTTACATCAGATAGATAGCATCAAAGGAGAGGCACCGCGAACTATTGAGAATCGATATGATTAAAAAGAAGTAGTATCCAGCGCCCGAAATGCAATCAACTCCTATACTAAAGGAAAAGACAATGTGTGCATGCCCAACAAACGCAGAATGCCGATCCAAAGCAATCGTCCCATAGTAGAAAATGAAAAAGAAAAGGGTTGAGAAAAAGAAAAGTCCGAAGAGACAGCCTGAAAAATATCCTGATATGTCCAAGCCTTTTTTTATTCTTCTGTGGAATATTGACTTAACCTGCCAAAACCACAGGATCCAGAAAGAAGAAAAACCAGTTAGGAACCTGAACGCAGAGGTCTATCGGTAGTCATGAAAAGAAGAGGGGATGTTTAGGGAGAGAAAGGGTCGTGTTTCCAATTCCAGGAAGAAACCCGTCGCTTGCCGTCGCTCTGATGGTCAAGGGGACACCATTACGACGGTAGTTGCGGCAAATGAACTCGGTTGCGAAGGATCTGATCGACGTCATCCACAACTGAACGGCCCACGATTCGAGAGTTGATGGGGAGTGCGCGGATAGGCAGGTCTGGGAATTCCTCAAATAGCGATCGCTTCTGCGACTTCGACCCTCCACCTCCAAGCTTGCCTTGGACCGCAAGGACGATAACGATGATGATGGCGATGACGACCAGGATGGCGACTGTGCAAAATTAGTGATAATCCTAAGCCGGCAATACCGGGCGTACTTACGACAAATAAGGGCACACCAGAACTTCTTCCTGCGGGTGGCTCGGGCTGTCTCGACAGCGACACCAATCTCCTTGTTTCCGTGTTCCAGGCTCTCCACAACGTCCTCTGCCTTGTGCTCGATGTCTGTAACCATCTCCTCCTGCTGGACAACAAGGGTATCCATATCCTGGAAGAGTTGGGAGAGCTCGACCATCTGCTGCTCGATCTTCTGGAGAGCACGGTGGCGGTCTTGGACTGCACTCAGAGCGGCACGGGCCCGTCCTTGGCGATCGCTCTGCATCAGGGCCTGGCTGAAAACCTGGGCACCGTTGGGGTCCTCGACGACTTGGCGGATTTGCTCCTCGGTCGCATCAGGTTTCACAATACGGTACTGGCGGGCCATCTGGTCCTGGGTGCGCTTGCGGAACTGGGACTCGACGGACTGGTACTGCTGGATGGCGGCCTTGAGCCGGCGATCGACGCGGCTGACCTGGGGCTTGTTCTTGGGTGACTGCGCATCGGGCTTGGACTTGACTTGGCGTACACGCTCTGTCAGGGACCGGTACAGTGCCATTGTTTCGGTGCTGAGCGAGTCGAGCTGCTGGTTAGCAGTACTCGAGGCGGAGTTGTCGGCATCGTCGAGGGTGCGTTGCTGGAGCACGCGGAGCTGGTCCAGGTTCGACTCGACCTGCTCAATGCCGCGATCGATGTCCTTGCACTCGTTGAGGATGGCATTGGGATCCGCGCGAACCTCGGAGCTGTCTTGGAAAGGGTTGGCGTTGTCTTGGAACGAGTTCATCTCGTAACCTGAACCTGGGGGAGTGTTAATCAGTATATCCTCTCCTCTTCGGCCATTGAAGACTTACCACCGCCTCCGTATGGGTTGTACTCGGTGCCATGGCCCTCACCAGCAGGTATCTGGTTGTATTGGCCGCCCCGGTTGTATCTATCGCGCGCCTGTCAGCCAAACCTGATTGTCCACGTTGCGTCTAGTCGAGGCCATGCAAGAGACCACTGGCGAAATAGACGTACCCGTACTGTTGATTTTCGTTCATTATTAGCAAATTTTATCAATACAGAGATATCATGAGAAGTGGGAAATAATTGAGGAGGGCGAAGCTGCGCAAAGGGCCGGCTCGTAGAGGAGCCGCTGGTATTTACATGGGGCCGCAGGATCCTCGTCAGGTGAAACAGTATTAGGGGTAGGAGGGCATAATGCGAGACAGTAGACCTACACTCATGGTTGCAATGTGTTTGGGGGCTGTTGGATCGTCCGGAGTGTCAAGGAAAACAAGGAGAATGCAGAAAGTGTTTGGACCTTTTGGCACACGGCGTATCGAGGTCGCAAATAAGCCACTGAATGGATGAAAGAGCAAAGAAATTTGATGATGACCGCCTTGGTTAAAAGGAGAGGGATGAACGGAAAGGCAGGGTCCCGCCACGGACGGGGTGAGCAGGGGTTATTTTCCTACCCCAGCAATGCAATGGGCAATGGGCGATGGAGACAGCTTGCCTTACTACCACCCTCAAATGCGGAAGGGATCCAATACACAGACAATAGTAGCAGCCGCAGGCATGCTAAAGTCCTCTTGCAGCCGCAGCCGTGGTCTAGGTCCTTACGCACTCGATTGGGCTGAGCAGCGGCGTTGGCTAGACGCTGATAGTCGCCGTCGTAGGAAAGTCAGCGGTGGCCTAGGCTGACCACCAGAATCCGTCTGTGAGTGTATGTACCTTCTGGTACTTGAACTTGGTCCACGGGTCTAGCACGCTAACGTTGCCAGTCTCTCCTACCTTGGTACCTCTTCCGAACCCATGCGTTGCCCTAGGATGGTCTCCATGTTTCTTATGCGTGCCTCAAGAAGCGCAAGGATGGCGGCGGTTGATAGAGTCCGAGACTTGCCAGCCAGCCGATGCGAACCAACACAATCCAAGCGCCAACACCAGCAGAAACCGATTCGATATCCAAGTGTGTACCAGCCGGTACCTTTGCGCCTTACACACATCTCGCGCTTAGAATGGAAAACAGCCTGGTGGGCATCGTCTCCACTAGAATAGACCCTTGGCGATTGGCTAACACGCAAGAAGGTTGTTTCAGCGCAAAGCCTCAACGACCCATGATCTGGCGCCTGGGTCTCAAGCTTTCAGTAGCACAGCGCCCACCGTCGATCAGACCTTGCTTGGCTGTTCCCGACTGCTCTGGATGTGAGGTGCAAGGCCCCAGTTAAGCAACATGTTGCGAATCCACGGTCTACACGTTAAACCAATCACCCTCCCACCTCCACCTACACCTCCACCTCCAAATGGGATCTAAAATAGAACCGGACGGAGGTTGGTGTGCTGCTGACCGCAGAGTATGCAGTGCCTACGTAGGGCAATGGATCGGACTGTTCTATTTTTTCCTCAGCTGTGATGTAAGCAGCCTGACTGCCAGCACCAAGTTGTCACCCCACCCACGTCCGGTGGGCTCAACCCCCGAATCCGAGAGGAGCAGACCGTGACACTAACAGGGATACACCCAACTGATCAATATGTATGCGCAGTACATTTACTCAATGTAGAGAAACCAGTGCAGCACGGACAAAATTTATAAGATAATCAGATCGCCCAAGATTCGGCCTGGATCTGCGCAAAATTTATTCTAGGAACTGCCCTACAACCACCCATGGCAGCTTGAGACATGGAAGACCAGACTTCCAATCCCAGCCATTGTGCTCGTTGCGAGTGAGACTATCTAACTAGAGCTAGCCTGATTCAAGCGCCCCCAATCCCAGCGACCGTCAGCAAACAATCAAGGGAAGACATAAGTTATTACTCGTTTCGAGGCGATGGATTCCCAGCCCCGAGTACTGTACGTAATGCTTGTCAAAGGATGCAGACCGCAGAGTACCATTTCAGCATAACACTCCGAACTATACGTCCGCTTGGTAACCTCTGCGGATGCAACCTATTCCCATGTCGAGCTCACAGGACGGCATATGCAGAGACGTAGCTGACACTTGACTCCCTGGGCGACTTGACAAGTTGGCTTCGCTGATATTGGACGATTTTGAACTTCCCTCCTCCCTTGGCGTCCTGCTCTTTACGAATGTGCTCCAGCCCTGCCATAGCCACCCCAATTGGATGCCGGCCACAAACAGTGTTTCCTGTTAATTTTAGATTGTCAACGAATGCATCATGGCTCCCGCTCTCCACCGCGTCCATCGCAGCTTCGTCGATGAGACGGACTGTCTCATGGATGGGCGGTCCCACCGGGGCTGGCTCGTTCCTCCGTAGATTTCTCAGATTGGAAGGGTCGTTGTCAGGCGAATACACCATGTAGCTAAAGTGAGCACCCCAGTGACAAAAGTCGGAGCTGATGATGAATGCATTCTCCGGGTCCTTGAGATAGGGAACAAACGCAGCCGCAGCTTGCTTCTCCTCGGCCCGGTCATTATCACCAATCAAGATGGGGACAATAGGTGGGAACTTGTCAGGCGATCCGAACGTCTTCTTCAAACACTTGTAGATGTATGGGGTGTGCATTTCAAGCGAGTGCTCGTCGGCGTCCCGTTGTGGGGGGATCGTGTCAAAGCGGCCCGCTTGCCTGACAGCGTCTATAGCCTCTCGGTCGACAACAAGGTCGCCGAACGGCGTGGCATACTTCCCAAATGTGGTTACCGCACAGCCGGATAGATAGTACGTGTGGGATGGTCCAAGGAGGAAGACTCGCTTGGCCTTGCTGAGATCGAGACAGCTGTAAGCCCAGGCGGCACAGGGTCCAGAGTAGTCAAAGCCCGCGTGTCTGGCCCAGCATGTCAACAGGTGGTTGCTTTTTATTCATTCTTGGGGGTATGAACGCACGGAGCAATGATTATTCTTGCTCCCGGCACGGGGAGTGTAGAGCCGTCAATATTTGCGGGCACATCCCCAAGGTATTCATCAAGCTGCTCCTCGAGGTCCTTGGGGTCCCTCACGTACCAACTACCTGCCTTGGTTGCTGGTCGAGTAGCCATTTCACGAGCTGATGCGTGGAGATGAAACGGGGTATGAGGGGCGAGTATCGGGTTTATCTCCGGCGATCTACTAGAATCAGAATGATGGACTCAAGGTTGCAACTCCTCTTGATGGGATGGATTGGGCAAGCTTGTAGGGAGCAGGTCGAGAGCACCGCCCAAGCCAAAACCCCACCACAGCTCAGGTCATCATCATATCAGTGATGCGGGGTCCAGTAAGAGCTCCAGCGCACTGACGCCCCGCCGTCTTCCCTACATGTTGCGCCACCAAGCCTTATTGCACCGGGGCGGACGAATAACCTCAGATCCGAGCCCGTCCCTGGCTGCAGTCACTTTCAAGATGCAACCACACGTTTTGCGGTGCGCTTCGGTGGAGTTCCAGACACCACGCTACCGCTACCAAAGTACAAACATTCATGTGAGGAGAGGGGATAATATTACCACTGACATGACATCAGGTAGCATATTGGCTTGTGGGCTCATTCTCGGGGGGGAAAGACGTATCAAGTAGCAGTTGGAATCAATGGCTAAAAAAAGACCAGGTGGGCACTGCCGCGTAACTCAACCAATGCCAGTGGAGCCCAGGCAAACTCGTGTTGGTTTGACGATAATCCAAACTAATAAGCTTGAACAGGGCCAAGTAAACAGGATTCGGAAGACATACATAACATATGCACAACATTGAAACCCTACACTCCTTCTTACGGATTTGGCATCGGTATGGGGGGCGGTCAGATACACAGTGGGCATATTTTCTAAGCAGCCTTAGAACTTGGTGTCAGCAATGTCAAGGTTGAATTGACCACTCTATACCAAAGGCTCTCAGAAATATGACCACATACTGAGGGAGGATTAAATCAACGTAACCCATAACAAACAGCGAATCCTCGTGACCCAACACAACGGTATTCCTACAATTATCGAACTAGCCCCCAACATATGAAAAAGGTATCACGACCCGGCGATTCCATCATCTTACACCCATATAGGGTAGGCAACCAGGGTGCAAGGACAGGGACCATCTGGAGCCGATGCTCGGTAACAATTACCAGTGATGACCCCTTCTGCATTATGGGATCATGTTGTCGTGCATTAGTTGTAACATAGCTACGTAATGCAAACAAATGTCCTTTATTGAGTGAGGTGAGACGAGCTGAATCGCCAACCATGGCCGCAAAGAAGACCTGCAACGGCAGTGACTAGAAGAAGAGTAGATCGTCGAAGCACGAAAATCCGCCCCCAGCTCGTCCGTTTTGCAGCCTCTTCGATTTTCACTTCTTCGGTAGCTTCTTCGGTTCCTGTTTTTACTTGATTTTCCACGGCTAATGGTAGGTAAGAGTGGTATGTTACCTTAGTGCTTGCATGTATGCAAGGTCGTAACCTGAGTTAAAAGGAGATTAGTGCAGCCTCCCAATCGATCGGGTTGGCTCGTGGGAGACCCGAATGTGGGTCCAGAGTCGAGGTTGCTGCTCATGGTGGTCATTGATGATTCGTCTTGAATGCTCCATTTTCCGATCCGAACAAGAGAAGTTATTTGCGATTGGAAGACGACAAACAATGGGGAAGGGGTTCGTCTGCCGCCACCAGGCCAATATAAGTGCGACATCCTTTTCCGATGCTTGTATCGTAACGCCGAGCCGGGTTTCCAGTTTCCTCCCTGCGCTTGTATCTTGATAGAGCACCCGCAATGTTCGCCTGGTGTCGGTGAAGGCTGGATTGCTAGATATCCATCGCGATTTGGGAGCTGGTGCTGGAGAATACCCGCCACTATCCTAACCACAGAATCCAGCTCCAACAATGCCGGCGACGACGTGGAGATCTCTGGGTGTTACCCGGCGACCTGTTCACATTTGATGAAAGAATGGAACATTTCTTCTATTAAAGTGGAGAATAGTTCAAGCAAAATCAGTGCAACAGCAGGGGGTCAGGGACCTGCCGAGGACCTGTAGCACAGAGCAGCCGCAGGATGAGAGCAGTAATATGACAAGATGATGTTTGTCTCACATCTGAGCAAGCGTGCTACCATCAACCACACGGGTTTTACATATCCCTCTCCCTAGCAAGACAAAGCGCGTTGTGTAGTTTATGAGTGTGTAGCCTCCTTCATTCCCGTAGAGTCTTTACGTAGCAAACTCTCCATCCGCTGGAATTAACTCTTAGTCACCCCGCCCATCGGGGGGCGACTACCACAGCCGTCGACCGGAACCCAAACATTTCCTTCTCCTTCCTCCGCCATCGCTGATTGTCTC